ATACCGGTTCTGGCGAGAAACGGTGACTCTTTGGATTCCTTTGAATGCAGTACACAAGTCACAGGTCACATGCCCATGGCTATGTCGTATCTGAAAAGAGGGCAATTGTACAGAAGAATTCTGCTGATATGACATGGTGCAGAACCAATGTAAATAAAAACAAGAAAATTCTCGATAAAAAGACGAAACACGCCATGGCAATGAGAAAAGTTAGTCCTTCAGCTTGACTGCATCCATTTACCTTTGCCTCACGTACGACCCCCATTCTATCATAACCCAAAAGTTGAGCTTTACCTAACTTTAACTAAAACTTTTACAATCATTTCTCTCAAAATTCTCACGCAACACATCACTGCTAAGAACATGTTTTGAGGAGTCTCGCTCCATTAGGGAGAGGGGACAATCAGGGGCGACGGTAATGCGTATGTTTTTCTACAAACATATCCGGACCCATTCCAGTTAAGCCATATTACATGATTTTAAGAAATTACCTTAAGTATCCTGGTAATGGTGTCAAGAGGAGGTCGAACGCCTTTTTCCAGAATGACATAAGAAAACTTCCCCGTCTGAGTGCCTGATTCCTCGTAACGTGAACGCTTGCCATCTGCTCGAATGACTCGCCATCGAATGGGGAAGGTACACGGGCTACTGAAACGACGACATATTATTCAGCACCTGGAATGCTGAGGAAAAATGCGCTACGTACTTGGATTTCAGCTTTGGACATCCGAGATCATGTGGACACGGAGCATAAACGGTAGCAGGTGGAAGCGCTGTGGGCAATTCCAGCTCAGGAGGAACCTTCAATGTCTTTTTCAACTGAAGCAGTGCAGCACCTTTCCAGCATCAGTGGGTTGGTTTTCTCTCACAAAATTAGACTCACCATATCGCGAATGATAGTAAAGCGCTCCAAATCGCTGGCATGTCTGTCACGAAGAACATGTTTTATTTCATCAGTCATCAAGTTGTGCTTCTGAAAGTGGACAAGGGCAGTCATAAAATTTATCCTTTCTCATTAGTGATGGAAAGTTGATGTTTTCAACAGATCGCTGTCTTCAGTGGCCTCAGACGACGCCAAGCAAATGGATTTACCAACCTCGCCAGAGACAAGGGAGCCCATCAGCCCGGAAGATTCGAAGTTCCACATTTAAAATCTACTCGACCAAGCGCCCCACACCATTCGGCTAGTTGGAACACTTTCCAAAACAAAGGAATAATAAAGGTTCTAGCAATGAGAGTAACTTTATCGCAACTGCACCACTGTCATGTCCTCACTCAATACACTGAACGACTATGGGTGGGTAAATGAAACTGAAGAAGATTGCAGCTTTGAAACAAACCCACGGTGATTTCGCAGCCTACGCAAGGAAATCCGGGAATTGGCAAGCGATAGTTTATCTTAATACGTGACGCTCTTGGTAAAAAATGCAACTTGCCTAGTAACAATGGAGGGGTGGGTGGGGCTTGACCGGTTATTTACAAACAAGGATTTCCAAAGGACGTCGACCGGATGAAGCGGTTCTATCGAACTGATCAGAAGGGCACATTAGCGTGAACGATCGTTTTGGAATCGGAGCAGGTTCTGTACATCTCCGATTTCATCATACCAAAAATAGAATCTGATAGAAATTACTCCTACTTCCAGCAAAGTTGTTGTGTCTTGTAAATGCAGCTGAACGCCGGACAGTAAAAGGAAGTCGCGAGCCTCCATAAGCGCTTCGAAAGCGCTATGCAGTCCAGATTCAATGAGCACCAGAAATCTGGAACAGAGACTAAATAACTATCTATTACTTGCGAGCACATTAGAAGCATGAACACTGATTCCCTTGAAGCCTAAAGAATTCAGCTCCAGACGACTTTCGAAAAGCCTCACGTTCGTTCTGCATCTGCGCATGGACTTACAGTATCGGGATTTGAATACAAGTATACCAGTTTGCGATCAAGTCAAGCACAGCCTGCCTGTTGGATAGTCCACAGCAAGGCCAAAGGCTGAGCATGATCGACTTTCGATGAATCT